TGCTGCTAGGTTTCTTATTTTCTGCTTAAAGGACAGTTGGACAAAAGGGAAGGAAAGAAATAGCCATGTCAAGGCTACTTTATGTTTTGTCTTCTGGCTTATCTTAAGAAAGTAGGATTTCCACAGGTAATTTTTTTTAAATATTACAACATTCTATTTCTCCTCTGTGTAGAAGAAGTACACTTCAAATATGTATATGGATGAACACATATATTTCATCAAAAACCAACTCAACATTGTTTCATTTTTAGAATTACCTGAAATCTTTTAAGATCATTGAGATATAAAAGCCGAATGGATGGTAACCTCCTCCCCAATATTTTCCAAGGATGTTTTACACTTCCTTCTGCAACCCGGTACCGAACCCTGTGTGAACCTCTGATGAGACTACTGCAGTGGCTCTCATGGGTTAATTCATGTTAGATTCCGAGAACACGGGCTTGCTCTCAATTTCCAGTAAGGTTTCCCTTGTGAATTTCATGCAGAAGAACTTCCACTTATTTTGTACATTTTATGTAGTTTTGCTCAGAAATTAGCAAACAGTTTAACTCCAAAGGGTGCTGAACCTTCGTAGCTACTTCTCTGAGTCAGATGAGAAGGGCCGCAGAGACTCCAGCTGCCGTCCCGAAGAGAAAGGCTGTTTCTGGGCGTGGGGCGAAGGTTAACCATCCATGGGCCGAGATGCTCGGGGGGCACAGAGCATCTGGATGAGAAGCAGGCATTTGGCTGGATATGCTGTGGGAGGTAGACCTCGCACATAGATAGCTAGCTTGGAATTGTACATTTTTTCAGATCTTCAAAGCCCGTTTGTAGATATTTCTATTTTTAAAGTATTTCTCGTGGGGCCTCAAATACGTCATGAAAACCCTGTAGTTTTCTTCCTTTCTTTCTCCTCTTGTGGTGGTGGTGGCTGGGAGATAGGTAGATTGCCCTTCATCTTGTCATCGGGTTTCTTAAAGCCCCTTTTTATGGATTGAAATAGGCCTGTTATGAAATTTGAAATTGTGATACAGAGACGCATCCTGATAGCGGTGCGTATATGAAAGGGAATTCTTACCGAAGCGCTGTCTCCCTGTCCTCTGTGTGCGAAGTTTATTTTGAGTCCTTGCTCATGCTGGCTGTCCTTTCTGACTTGTTTATATTCTCAGGGAATAAAAACACAGCAGCCGGGAAGCGCCTCTCGGGGAGTCTGCCCTTAGCTCTGGTCTGAGGATCCCTTTCTAAACGGACTGCGGCATCATTTCAGCTCCCACATTGTTTGCCGAAACCCGAGCTGCCCAGGGAAATTAGAGCCGTTAATTCAATATCCAGAGCGCTTTGGGGCTTCTGGGCTTATTCATAGGCAGGAGAGTGTAAATCACTGAGTATTCTGTGTAAAGCAACGGACAATAAAACTCGCCTCCAAAAAAATCCAGTCTGTGCTGCCCTCCCTCCCTGGCCTTCCTGCTCCCTGTCTTCACCCTGAGCCCGAGGAAATCTTACTTTATTCTGGGTGTCCTCCCAAGTACTCCCCAGCAGGGGTCTGCGTGGCAGACAGCACCCCGAGTGGAGGTAGAGGGCGTGCGGGGTCACTGCGTGTTAGTCCTAAAAGGGCTCCGGGGTCACAGCCACCGTGACCAGCAGTGACGTCCCAGCACCATCACCGATTTGTGTGTTAAGGAGAAAGGAGCAGCAGCCGTGTGAAATGCCCTTACGGCCGAGGAAAACGGACAGAGCGCCCTCAAGCCTCCTAAGACTGCCCAGGTCCTCTATGAACAGGCCCCCTGAGTAATGGGTTCTGTGTGCAGTGGCTACTGGGCTGTTCTGATGTGTTTTGGAGAGGACCTTCGAAAGAGTATTTTAGGGACCTCTGACCCGAGAGCTCAAAACACACGTGGGCAGCCTCCACCCACCCCCAGGATGGCACTGAGAAGTCCAGTGCTTTGGCCTTGGCTCCAGAAGGTTCTGTGTGTGCAGCAGCCCTCACCCCCTACCTCTCTCAGACACGCCGGGCTTGCTGTATGTCACCTCCCCTCTCCCGTGTTTCAGGGCCGATTCTGTGGGTCTGAGATGCACTGAGGGGAGAAAGAGACCTTGTCGGAAGCAGTGTGTGCTTACTTTGTTTGGGGACCTGGCTCATTTGCAGGAAATAGCGGCATTGGGGCCAAAACCATGGATGGCTTTTCACAAATACCCAGGTGCTTTCGTGCTTTGGAGGTATCTAACAGTTAGGAGGTGACGTGATAGAGGTTTTTGTTGGCCCCATGGGACCCGCGTCGGCCCTGTAGCCTGCAGACTCACATGGTGCCCCACCCATCTGGGGAATAAATCTGACCACAGAGTCCGGTCTAGGTTATCTGGTCAGAAGGAAAGGAGACCATCTTAATTATAATAAATAAATGTCTTCTGGAAAAGCACAGGTAAACATAAATATTTCAAATTTTGATGTGTTTTGTATGTTCTAATTTTATCGATAAAATACACCCACAGGAATGCTTACATTGAAACTTGGTTTTCATGTTACTAATAAGCAACTAGGTGTCAACTGTTATATCCACTGAAATACTGAAACCTCACGGAAGCGCTGATACAGCAGTGATCAGGCCCTCTCAGACTCTGTCCCCACCAGTCAGGATCTCGGTTGGAGGAGCCCAATGGGACACTGAGCAATGGATTTTTAAAAATCTTTTCCACACTTCCTTTCCCTACATCCTTTATAATCTCTTTATACCACTTCTCTCTCCCTCTCTCTCTCTCTCTCTCTCTCTCTATCTCTATCTCTATCTCTATCTCTATCTCTATCTCTATCTCTATCTCCTCTATCTCTATCTCTCTTCCCTATAGACTGCATTCTTTCCATGTAGAATTCCATACATCTAAAGTATCCTATTTGGTTTCTAGTGCTCCCCAAAAGAAAAAGAATAGAAAATTCTTTACAGATCCAGCAAATAAAGAAATTCTAATAGCAGGGCCCTCGCTAAGACAACTGCACCAAAGTAGATGGTACCACAAACTGCCCTCTCTCGACACTGCCCGGACTTCCCGACCTGATGATTTAGGTACTTTTCTACTTAGGAGGAGGGTGCCATTTTTGCTGAGTTCAGCATGTCCATTGAGTAATTTCTGAAGCCAAAAGCCAGCTCCCTGCATTTCTGCTTGGTAAGGTCCAGCGGCCTTGGCGTGGGGCAGTGGTTGTTGATTCATCGGCCTTCCCACTGATGATAGATCTGGAAGCCAGGCGGCAGGACCGGTAGGCTCCCTTAGCAGAACTTGTGCAGGGAGTCGGTGGCGACACTTACGGAAACCTGTGGAAAGGGCACTCATACACTCTGGTTTGGGGAGTAGAGGGAGCTCTGGGGTCCTGATAAGGAGGCAGCAGCAAGGGCTTTGACGCCACCATAGGACTGGTCGACCTAAACACCTAAAAAGTGCCTCTGCTCCCTGAGACACCCTTTCCCTGTTTATGTTTACATTCGGGGCGGCGGGTGTCTTGTATCACGAGCATCTGAGACAAGCCAGCTCCTCGGCGGATGGCGCGGGGCCCATCTGCCGGGATGCACTAATCGCTCTAATTACAAGTGCTTCACTCCCGTTGCTCGCACAGCCCCATGTCTGTACTTCCCCAGCGACACTCGTGTTTTCCTCTTCATCCCGCCTTTAGCAGGATAGGGAACGCTCCGTGAGGGTGGCCCGGGGTAGCTCGGACGCGTCCTTTGCAGAGAGTTGTCTTGGGAGAGATTAGCACACGTTACCCATGAAAAGCCCGGCACACGGAGATCCCTCCCCGGAGAGGGGCTGATCTTTCCTGAGACAAAGGACAGAAAGGAGTCTAGGAGGGAGCTTTTCGGTTCAGCCATACCTCTCTGGGCCATCCCCTGGCTCCTCAAAACCACGGTGTAGTTCTGCACCCAAACACAATCGACAATCTGGTGCTGATAACCACTTTCTGTAGAACATCTCATTTTTTTTTTTTTTTTAAGAAATCACATGAGTCATCTCACGCATGATATCTGAGCTGGAGCGTGGTCACGATAAATATCCCCACGCATCAGAGGCGTCTGATTCAGAGATCACGGTATCTGTTTGCTGGCTCTCCACTAAAATACCTCAGTCCTAACTGGACTGCCTGTGAATCGAGGCATCTTTTGAAAAGACAGGGTTTCCATGCCCAGACGCTGGAGAGGGAAATGAGTCCTAAAATAGGCGCCTTTCATTCTCCCCAATTTAAACCTAAGTGGCCCGTCTTTGAAGGCAACCACGATATTTTCCCTTTTCTGCCCCCACCCGCAGCGCCTCCATCAGTGGGTTTCCTTACTGCCGAGGGTGGTGGGTGCCGTTGGAGGGAATCTGTCGTCAGTCAGAAAAATGCTTCCATAGAATGACCTACCAGATGGGCCCTGCAGAGGCATCACACCACCACAGACATTTGGTGCTTAGAATAATAAAAAGACTATAAAATTAGATTAGTTGAGTCTAATTTGGAATCGGCATATTCCCCATGCACCCTCGCCCGCTCGTGGGCAGATAAAGCCTGGAGATTTAGCGCTGTGTCAGAGGCTGCCACTTCCAGTAAAAGGAGACGGGGCGCGGGCGAGAGGGAAGAAAGCATTCTGGGAGGTCTCGGAGGGCAGAGCAGTGACCTCCAATGATTTACAGGCCTTTAGCTTAATGAAATTGTTTCGGTGACATGACGGTAAGAGCTCGTAATGGATTGGATGCCCTAATGTAATGAAATTACTCCCTTCTGCCTAAAAAAAAAAAAAAAAAAAAATGCGCAATTAATATTTACTGAGACCTGACAGCCTTTGGTGCGCTCGTCTGTGTAGTTCTCTCAGACAGTCAGAGAGGAGACGGAGCCGCCTGGCAGCCGGGCTGGCTCTGCGGGAGCTCCTGGCAGCGGGGACGAGCGGAGCCTGCGAGGGGTGGAGGGACCGGGCGCTCGGCGACCGGGGGGACGCCGGCCAGCCGCGCCTCGGCGCTGCCCGCGCTCAGCCCTCACGCTCTCCCTTGCTTTCCCACAGGCAACTGGACAACAACCACATCAGCTGCATTGAAGATGGAGCCTTCCGAGCGCTGCGCGATCTGGAGATCCTGTGAGTTGATTGTGCGGCTGCTGCCTGGTGGTGCGTGTGCGTGTCGGGGTGAGGGGGAGACGGGGGGAGTGTGTGCACCGGGGGTTCTAAGCCGGTGCGTTTCTGGGGCCGCCGCTGCAGTGCTATTAGCGTCGGGCACCGGGAGATCCCTGCCTGCTGGCTCACCTTGGCCAAAGTGTTTGCAGGCAGCAAAGTGTGATTCCCCACCTCCCGCAGACCCGGGCTCCCGCTAAGGAAGTCTCAGCCGAGCCCTTTCTCCCTGCCGCTCGCTCTCACGGGGTTTGTTGCCAGGGGGGAAGCAGGTGGGCTGGAGTAGCCCCCAGCCCCTGCCAGCGCGGTCCGGGGGAGCCTGTCTGAGTGTGGGCACGCGGGAGGCAGGTGACAGGTCTGGGAGACCAGAGAGGGGAGCACCAGGGGTCAGGGCAATCACCCAAAAATTTGAAAGGGATCTGGGCACGGGCCTGGGGGAGGCCAAGCAGTAGATCGAGTCAAGCCGTTGCCCTTGCCTCCCGGGCTCTCGCCTCAGGTGTTAAGTCCAAACTTTAAGCAGCAGCCCTTCACGGGTGGGGGGAGGGGAGGGTGAGAGGAAGTGGACACCTCCCCAGAACCCCACTCTGTACACTTCACCTGGAAGCATGGAGCTGCCGTTCTGGGTTCCAGATTTTTCAAATGGGTCTAGAAGGAAACCTGACTTAAGGCAAGGGAGGGCAGAAGCGGGGAGGGCGTGTCAGCTAGGAGTCATCTCCGGCCGTTCAAACTGAAGTTGGATTGTGTAAGAAGACATTCTGACGGCTCTCATCCCAGCTAGACTTCCAGGCCCTGGTTTGGGGGAAGTTGGAGAGGAAGGCAGGAAAGCCCAGCAGAACTCGTGTCAGGAGATGCCGGATCCGGTCCCCACTCCGCTCCTAATTAGCTGTGTGACCTTGGGCAAGTCCCTTCCATGCTCAAAGCCTAAGTTTTCTCCTTTGGGAAAATGAAGGGGTTTAGTTGCTCTATCTTGGGGATACCTTCTCCTTTACCGGTTCTGTAATTGCTTGGCTCTAAAAATAGTTCTGATGGTGCAGTCCCGCCCAGAGAATGCTAAGTGTGGGGTCTGCTGGGCATCCCTGAAAATATGAACTTACTTAGTCACCAGGTCGCATAGCTCTGACTTCCAGAAGAAGGAATAAATGTCAGACAAATACACAAGCGAATGTTTTAAAATGTCCCTTTTCCCGTAAAGTGCTCCCTGTCCTTTCCCCTGTCACCTGGCCCTGCAGACAGCATCGGGCTGGAGAGAGCCTGTCCACATTGCATGGGAGGAAGGTGATTCCAAGAGGAATCACCTGAGACAGAGGGGAGCTGATGCTGCTAGCGCTGGGACTGATGAAAACTGAGCATCCCAGTACCGAGGAGCAGGCCCACAGCCAGGGCGGGAGGCGCTCACTCCTGACAGGGCTGGTCCCTCCTCACCACGCTCTGACCCCGGAACCCGCAACCAACGCATGTGCCCAAATGTAGTCACCCAGGGCTTCTCTCCTCGAGAGGCCGGAGCTGAGAAGGGCGAGCATGATCCTCCCCGCCTGCAAAGAAAGCCTCTGAAGGAAGGATTGCTAGGAGAATAGCACCCTATTCTTGGGAAGGATGAGAAAATTCCTTGGGAAGAGATCAGGAAATGGAAGCCACCAGCTGCCACAGAGCAGCTGCTAGACCTGTACAAGGCAGGCATGGTGGGGTCTCCTCACCAGGAAGGGGCGGGCGGGAGGAGGAGGGACATGGAGAGGTCTGGCAATCAGACACACATGGGTGTGGAAGCCGGGACTCAATGGGACAGACTTTGGCCAGGCTACTGAGCCTCTCTGAGCCTGTTTTCTTCACGTGAAGAAGAGGCGCCTTATCTATTTCCTAGGAAGGGCTCCCCACATAGTGTTTTTTCCACGTCCCTCACTTTCTCCCAGCCATGCCCCGTCCCCATCTGGGAGACAATTAGACTCGGAAATGCCGGTATCCAGCCACACTGGGTCTCTCCCGCTGGCAGCCTGCAAGCCTATGATGAAAAGTTCTCGTTCCCCATCATTGCCAAATCCGCAGGATCTGATTAGTTTATCTTCGCGATTCCAAACAAAGCCAGATCAATAGCTTTGTTTTAAAGACACGCTCATTCGGCTTCATGTGGCTAAGTACTTAAAATTAATCATCATCAGTGATTCCACGGGTTTCTAATCTCCAGCAGAGGCACTCGGCTCTGGAACCATCCATCTTAATGGGGAGCGGTTCTGGAACTGGCTGGAGCTGACATCTCCATCTACAGGGCCTCCCCGCCCCGCCCCCAGACCTTCCAAATCTCAGCGAGGCATCGAAATTTTGTAATGCTTCTCTGTCATCACAACTTGGCAACATAGAGAACCTTGGCAGTGACATAAATAGGAACTAAGTGGGGGCATCGTGCGTGAACCTAGTAAATTCTTCAGAGGTTCAGGGAGAGGGGATGGAGTTCGAAACAGGTGGTCCCCGGGCAGCTCATCTTTCAGCACCTGTGGCTCTACCATCAGCACATGAAGAGGCAAGACATGGTCTTTCAGGTGTGTTTTCTCTCTGACGTTGTGCAGTGTGAAGTAGAAAACAAGGAAAGACCCAGGAAAAGCTCTCAAAATTAGCTCAAGGGAAGTCTGTGGGCGTCACCTACAGTTGACCTTTGAACAACATGGGCGATAGGGATACTGACTCCCCCTGTCCCCCCCCCCAGTCAAAAATCTGCATATAACTTTTGACTCCCCAAAAAACTTAAATCGTCTCTCAGTATCACAGGGGATTGGATTGGTTCCAGGGCCCCCCACAGATGCCCAAATCTGCGGATGCTCAAGTGCCCCGTATAAAACGGTGTAGAGCAATGCATACAGTTGGCCCCCCACCTCAGGGGGAAAACAGTACAGACTCCCAACCTCAGGGGGAAAACAGTACAGGTGTTTCGAGAAGAGACTCCCCGGGTCAGTGGATCTGCCCAGTTCAAACCTGTGTCGTTCAAGGGTCAGCTGCACTAGTGGATTGCCCCATGAGCTCGTCCTTCCCGTGAGGGAGACACCGTAGACGGAGGTTGGTTTCCCCTGTTCCAGGGGATGAGAACTTGGGAGGCGAGTTGACAGGAACCACCGTCTGCAGTGAGGGGAGCAGCAGGGATACAGGTTGGAAAAGACTGAACTCTGCCCAGCTTTTCCGCATTTATGGCGCATGCCCAGTGAGGGATGCCCAGCTCGGGGCCTGGAGGACAAAGGGAAGGAGTCAGGTAGACAGGAAGGGGGTTAAAAAAAGCATAGTGTAGGCAAAACTTCTCAAGGCCCTGAGCCCGCACTGGGGAGGAACCCCAATGCAAGTGATCAAAGCTGGGATCCGGGCAGTGCTCCGTCCCCACACATAACCAGTGCTCTAATCCGTGATCTCTTTGCGTCCTCACAAACCTTTAGGGAAACTGCGTCATTATCGCCGCCCTCCTTGTATAGAGGAACAGCCCATGTCAGGGAAGCCAGCGGGCTGCCCACCCTGCCCGCTGCACCCTCTGAGCTGTGCCGCCAAGGCTGTCCTAGGGCTGGCTCCCCTGAGGTGTGGCCGCCATGTGCTGTGGGTGATGTGCTGGCCCCGAGAGCGGAGCCGGGCTAGCGACCCAAGACTCAAAATCCTGGCAAGGAAAACGCAGGTACCTCCCACAAGTCTACAGAATTGTCCTCCCCTTCCCCCAGTTCAGGGGTCCCGGCAAAGGGGAAGATGAATCCAACTCACCAGGGAAGGGAAGTAATCCCGCGTTATCACGGACTTACATTCTAGTCACAGGGATGATTTAGTCTCCCTTCTGGATGTCGCCAGTTGACTTTGGTGCCCAACGGTTTGGGGGCCCCATTCTCCAAACTGCCCCAAAACACAGCCCCAACTTCCTGCATGGCACTTAAGGTTCTTCAGGGAGGGGCCTGTTTCCCGTGTGTCCCACACCGTTCTCTTACCCACATCACTGCCCTTTCATTTCCACCTGTTCTATCCATCGGGCGGTTCATGTCTCTGCTTTCTCTAAGGCGTGTGCATTTGGCCGTCCAGTATGCCAAGACTGCATCTCCAGCCCCTTCGGGCAGAAATCCTTGCTGGTGGTGCTCTGAGCCATGGGTTTCTGGTCCTTGCTAGCGAGATTGAGACGGGGTGGGCAACTCACCAATTATACCTGGCTCTTTTCTGCCCAGGTTAGAGAAGCGTTTAATGAAAAAGAAAAAAATTAAGAGTGCAAACAAATGAAACAAAAATGAGAAGACCTAATAAATAAGATAGTTAATTAATGTCTTCAATAGTATTGTAGGAGGAGAGAAAAGATTTTCTGATATTGTCTCCTGACTACATGGAGCAAACCAGATCAGCAGATACGCTGCCAAAAACGCCAGACCAAGATGTCAGGGACACGTCCTTAGAGGCTGTCACTGCCCGGTGAGAGGTCTGCACGGAGGAATCGTGGGCCCAGCAAACTGCTGCGGGTCCTTGGGTTTGGAAGGCCTCGCTCCCGTTTATGTCACTTGCCAATTTTGAAAATTCGGGGACGTTACTCTAGGCTGGCCCTGGTATCTGCAGAGAAAAGGTACAGCGAGCCCAGGCCTCTTAACATTTTGCGTGTCGGGCGACCCACTTCCCTTACCCAAGTCCCGGCTCTGGCCAGGGGGTGCCAAGTTGGTGATAGCAAAGAGGCTGGCACCTGGGTCTCCAGACACTGGGCCCCATGCTCTTTGCCCACATTTGCACCTCCTGCCGTTGGGCTCTTCGGGAGAAACCCCTGGTGACTCGGGGACCCTGAGTGCAGTTGTCTCTCTAGCCCGTCCTTCCGTGGCCTCTCTCAGTTTGGAGGCTGAGGGAGGGCAGACTTTGGTCTCAGGTTGCTTTCAGCTCTCTCGAAACCTGAGGCTGGAACTAGACCACAGATCAGACTGCAGCCACGGATGAGTTTTACTTAATCTCGTAACATGTTCTTTAACAAGGGAAGTGAGCATTTCACA